ACGCTGATGGACAGTGACTGTGAAGGGGTATGTGGGGGGGACTTGGTGAAAGGGGGAGCCTAGTAAACATAATCTTCTTCATGTAATTGTAGACTAATGATACCAAAATAAATAAATAAAGCCAAAAAAAAAACCTGTGGCCCCAAGTCCGGTATGGGGATACTGTGAGATACTGGGAACAGAATGGACTGTGAGGGGTTCTAGTTCTCAAGGCAGGTTGAGGTCAGAGAAAATACCATTTCTCCAAGGTTTCTTCCTGCATTTGCCCTAATACAGATGGCCAGAGGCTGTTAGCAAGGCAAGGGGGGAAGGATGGGGTAACAGGGAGACAGACAAGGTGGAGACAGAGAAAGAAGGGAGGAGACATGGTGGGGATGAAGAGCAGGGAGGGATGGGGGCACAGGGAGGGACAGGCACCCAGGGAGACAGTGCGAGACCAGACAACAGAGAGGCAGCAAGAAAGGAAGGTGGGCTCTGCCACCAGGTACAAGCACCAAGGCAGGGAGTTCCCTGCCAGCAGGCAAGGGGACAGGCAGCCAGCAAAGGGCTGCAGCCCGGAGCCTGGCTGCTGGGTAATTGCAGTGGCTCTGTGGTTGGAGTCCGCCTCTCCTGTAAAAGGCAGGATTCTGGAAGCCCTGTCTGGGGAAGGCCTTCCGCAGAGCCAGATGTCAGGTTCTGGGTGGGCCCATAATCTTCTATGGGTCGAGGTGGGTGCTGTTACCCCGCTTTACAGGTGGGAACATCTGAAGCTCAGAAAGGTCTCACTACCAACACAGGCGACCTGGGCTGTGACCGGGGTCTGCCTGGCTCCAGAGCCCAAGTTCCTATGCTCAGGAACAAGAAATCACACTGTCAAGTCTTCCAAGAGCCCCAAGGCCTTGCTTCTGTGCCACAACCTGTCTGCACCTAACCTGTCTGTGGCTGATGTGGGCGGGGCATGGGGGGGACAGGGCTCAAGTGGCCTCTGCAGCTCTGAAGTCACTATTTATTTGTCCCAGGCACCACATGCCAATTCAGAGCCCTGGCTAAGAGCAGGCCAGCACAAGTTGTGGGTCCCAGGGGTTTGTGAGGGAAAGGATCACCTGCAAATCTTTGCACAAGCCCAGCACAGACCGTAGAGGGGGCATGGGCTGGGGCAAGCCCCTTGAGTGCACAGATGAGGCCCACCTCAATGCTGAGAGCTTTCTGGATGGGCACAGCATGGCTAGGCTGGTTCAGGTGGAGAGCCACCTGTGCCCATTGGTCCTCTGTGCTCCAGGTGTGGTTCGAGGACTTATGAAGGCAGCCCATGGACCCCGGGCATCATAATCAGTTATGTACAGGTAACTGCTACTTTATCCTCTACACATATCAGAAGATGAGCTGCATCCAGTACATCCTGTACCTGTAGCAAGTGCGCCACCTGAAGGAGTGGTGGGCACCTTCAAGCCCCAGAGCTGAAGATCTGAGAATGGGATCAAGAGCTGCACCTGGCCCTCACCACCCCCACCTGCAGGGCCACCGCACAGGAGATCACGGGCCTGAACTGCAATGCTGAGGAGCTGGGCCTCCTGTGCCATGACGCGCTGGGGCAGGGTCATGTAACCACGGGCAGCGAGCCCCCTCACTTCCTTGCATTCTCCAGGGCCAGCTGGTGGTCTCTTGGGTAAGGTCCCTGCCACTGGGGTCACAGCCTCACTGGCTTCTCCAGGGGTCCAGCTAACCACCTGCGGTCTCCTGGTGCTTGTCCGTGGCCCAGCAGGTCCACAGGTAACCCCTGCGGAGTGTCTTTTCCCTGTCCCTAGAACCAGCCACAAATCAGGAACACGGGTGAGGAGGCTGAATTGAAAGGGAACTAGGGCCTTGCCGGGGATCAAACACAGGCAGCTGGTCTCCATTTTCCACCTTCAAGGTCTAGAGGAACCATGCCCTGATACCCTCAGAGATGGGACAAGGTGTCCACTTAGAAAGGGATTGGTTCCCTCTCCTTGACTGAAGGGGCCCTCATACTCCACTCAGAATGTCCAGGAAATTGGTGGCTTCAAGTGAGGGTTCCTGTACCTCGAAGCAGTTTGTCCTCTGGGACGGGGTGGCAGCTCCCAGGAGTGCTTGCCCAGCCTGAGTCCAGACGCTCTTGTAGGGCAGCACTGGACACAGTGGGGAGGAGCAGCTAGTATCCACCATATGGCTCCTCACGTACAGGGCACCGACAGCTACAATACTGAGACCAACTCCAGTGGCATCATCTTGCTGGTCACAGCTGGCATCTGCTACCTCTGGCTTGCGACAGTACCCTCAGCCCTGACCGCTTGCCTCACGCCTGGGGCAGTGGTGCCAGGCCAGGGATGGGCCCACTCTCCAGGAGATGCAGACTTCATGTCCAGTGTCAGATAAGCTGGGGCAGGGGTTTGTGGGGGGAGAGGCCACGGCATCCCTTCTGGAATCTGGGGGGAAGTGACAAAGTAACAGATGGACCTGGGAGTCCAAGGGTCAGAGCCAGGCTCTGCCTAGGCCACCTCGCTTCCTTCCTGCCTCAAGCAAGAAGCATGTCCCTTCCCAAGTCTCTTGGGGAAAGGACACCTAGCCCAGTTTCACCAGTTTTCTGTGACCTTCAGCATAAACCATAAATGATCCCCAAGCCTGGGGGTCCCTATGTCATGTTAGGGATAGGATGCCACCTGGAGAGGGTCTCAGTCCCGGGAGGCGGGAAGGGAGATCCCTTGCTCATGTGTGTCCACCACCAGCCCAGGCCTCCTGTGACCCAGGCCTGCACCCCCATGGGCCCCTGGGAGTTAGGAATGTGGGGCTGGAGGGGAGGACCCCTCCCGTGTAGGATCTGACCCAGCTCTTTGCCTGCCAGGGTTGCAGGGTGACCAGCATGCGGTGGTGTAAATGGTGTTCTCTGTCATCTCTGGGAAGAACAAAGGAACCGCGGTGGAGGGTCAAGCAGGTCCTTGCCTCTCAGAGGCCCTCAGGGACCAGCTCCCTACCCCAGCGACAGGAGGTGATGGGTGGAAGGAGGGTGTTCTTACACAGAGGAGGAAACAGAGCCCAGAGGGTCACAAAGAGAGCTGGAAAGGCCACAGTAGCCCTGAGGACTCTGGGCTCCCAGCCAGCTGCCCCTCTGGGGGCAGCTCCAAAATCTGGGTAACTTGGTCAGGAAGATGCCCCGAGAGTGGGGTGGTGGCGCCCTCTGCTGGCCAAAGGTGCTCCCTGCTCATCCCAGTACTGGACCCTCTGGAGGGCAGAGGGCAAGGTGCCATTCCCCAAGCCCACAGTCCCCAGGGGTCATGGGTACCAGGGTGCAGATGTGTGTGGTGAAATATGATGTGTGGCACGGGCATGAACAGTGGGAGGTGGGTAAAGGGACAAGGGTATGCAGTGAGCCCCAGTGTGGCATGTGTCTGGGGGCCTGCTCAGTGCCCTGCACTCCGCCAAGGCCCTCAGCCTTGCTTCTGTCCTCCCACCTTGGGCCCGAAGTGGGTGGGACCTGCGGCTCCTCTCTCCTGGGGAGGGCTAGGTGTCCAGGCTCTTCCCCTAAGCCAGACAACCCCTTCGCAGGACCCATCCCTGGGAAAACACCTGGGGCAGCTTGTGCTGCAGCTGACTGTAGATAGACAGATGGCCTAATCTGTCCCCACTGACAGGCGGGGCTCTGGACCCCAGGAGTGTCTGGGCTCTCCTGGCACAAGTCAAGGGCAAGGCGAGCTCAGAGGAGGCCCGTGCCTCCTGCTCCCACAGAAGTTGCTCCCCCCCGGCTGAGGGCCCTCAGTGAGGGCTTGCGTCCCAGGCTGGTGAGAGGCACAGGCCCTCTGCCCCCCTCACTGCCTTGCTGCCGCCCTGGCCAGGATCCCTGAGGATGTCACCAGCTCCCAGCCATGACTGTTTGAGTGCTTCAGCCAGTAGGGCTACCTGGTCCCCACGGAGGTGGTGCTCTTTAAGAGGACCTGGACAAGTATGTTTTGTTACTGGACATGTCATGTTACTGGGCAGCTGGCAGTGTGTTGGAGTATGTGGCCATGGTGGCTGGCTGCCGGGTGTGTCTCACTGGCTGAGAGGTGTGTGGAGGGGGCGGGGGTGGCCAGGTCTTCCTGTGGCTCAGGGAAGCTGTAAGTGTGTGGAAGAAGGAGGTGATGGCCTGGGGCCAGGAGTACCTGCAGACCCCCATCCAGCCGGAGAAGCATAGCTACGCCCAATGTGCTGGTCAGGCAGGACCACGAGCCTCCCACCTTCACCAGATGCCTCCTCAACTGGGACCCCTACAAGTGTACTGTGAGTGAGGTCTGAATCCCCCAACCCATCCTAACCTGGGGAGAGGGGCCTGCCCCAGGCAGACTGAGGAGGCCCGGCCCTGTCTGGGGGCCTCCAGTGTGGCGGGGAGTGGCCAGGTCTTGTCCTCAGGCCCCCTCCCGAGTCCCATCCCATCCCCGCCCTCATTTCCAGAACAACCAGTCCTATGAGGTGGTGGTGGAGGCCAGCCTGGGAGCTGAGATAACCGCAATGAGTACTGGGGCCTCCTGGGCCTCCCCTGGGGTCTGGGCTCAGTTGGCCCAGCCCAGATGGGCAGAACAGACAGGGAAGGAGCCAGACCCTGGTAGGTGGCAGCAGCTGCAGTTCCAGCAAGAGGGTCAGTGGGCCTCAGTGTGGCCTCCCTGTAGGAGCCTGTCCCTCATCTTCTCCAGCCTAAGTCCCTTCGCTGGAAAGTAAGTCAACAACATCCCAATGGCCAAGCCATGGCAGGGCAGGCCCCTTGACCCTACAGGCCACCAAGGGCTCCCAGCACAGTTCTGAGACCCAGCTGGAGCCGGGCCCCAGCAGCCCCAGGTCTGTGGACATGAGGGGCCTGCCCCAGGAACAGCTGATGCACCAGGCCGAGGAGGACCTGCTGGAGGGTGTGGAACCGGCCCACAGGAGGTGGGTGCCCAAGACTCCGGCCACTCCCTGCCCCAGTGCTGATGCACATAAAAATGAGTTGTAGGTGCCTGGAGCATGACCCACTGATGGTGGGCAGTGGGCAGGCTGCCAGGGCGGTGGCCCAGATGGGGTGATAGGTAGAGATGTGGGAGACTTGAGCCCTGGGATGACACCTCTGGGTGGGTGGAGCAGGATTCTGGGTTCAGAGGACACCCTTCCCTTGCCCTCCTGTCCCCAGGTATCTCTCTCAGACTCTGACTTCCAAGGTATCTTAGGGAAGTCCAAGGAGGAATTCACAGTATGGCCAAGTGGAAGCAACAGTGGGAGAAAAGGCAGCCTGGCTTCTTCTGGCCCTGCCAGGGCTCCCACAGAGCCACGATCCCTGTGAGGGCCTACCCACACATACCTGAGCCCCTGAGGAGCCCCCACCTGCCGGCCCTGGTCAGAAGGGCCAGGGTCACCAGCACCGCCTTGTCAGTAAAAGCCTGTGGCCCTCACAAGGTGTGTGCGGGCCTTCTAATCTGGACTACTCAGAGGCCCACCACTGGGGGACAGGGCCACTGGGGCCGGAGGGGGCATCTGCAACACCCCAGAGAAGGACTGAGCTCTCAGCCTTTCTCCACAGAGGGGTTTGTTTCTTGCTGGTCCCGCCTGCCCAAGGGGATGGACAATTCCATCACTCCGGTGGGGGTGTGGGGAGGATGGGGTGAGGTGTGGGGGCTCCAGCGCACTGGGACGTGCACACATGCTCCTCAGGGATTTTCTGACATCCAGGTAAAGAGACCACGGGCTTAGTCTTTGATTGATTTTTATAAAAGCCCTCGACCTAGGGCCAGTCAGAGGGCAGAGAGGGCTACAGTGCTGTTCCTAACGGAATGGAGGGCAGCTCCAGGGACTGGACCAGCTCCTGGGAGAGGCAGCAGCACAGGCATGTTGGTGCTGACGGCAGGGTGAGATCTCATGCTCTGGGTGAGGCTGGGAACAGCCCCTGCAGCCCTGCCCCCAGCCGTGGACGAGGTCTGCCCCGCCAGACTCCTCATGTCTAGTCCTGAAGGGACACCTTCACAAAGAGGGTGGCGGATGGGTGTTGGTCCCCCGTCTTGGACAAGAGGTGGATGTGGCGGTACCCTGGCAGGCAGGGGGTGGGAAGGAGTACACAGGGGGCACTCAGGTCACTCCAGAGGCAGCCAGCCCCAGCCTGTGGGTCACCAAGCCCCGACCCCCGCCTTGCTGTCTGCTCCCCTGGACACTCACTCACCCTGCTTGAGACTGCAGAAGGGGATGGTGCTCTGGCCGATGAAGTCATTCTTGGAGGAGGCGTCATAATCCTCCACCAGGAAGCGCACGAGGGCAAGCTCAGGCACGAGCACCTCAAACTCAAACTCCGTGTCCCACCACGGGTTGAAGCCTAGGGGTACAGGCACCATGTCGACAGCACAGACACCAGCCCCAGCAGCTGGGCCCTGCCAAGGCTCAGCGCATACCATTATTGGTGACTACAGCGGTCTGGCGGCTGGCCATGTCCCGGCCCACGCCGTGGATCTCCACCGTCACTTTGGGGTCCACAATCGAATTCTTATTCTTGTTGACTTTTGGCAGTTGCTGCCCTGAGATGACCTGAGGAAAGGCAGGGGATAATTAGGGCAGTAAGAGTTCAGGAATAGTAGTGAGAGGGAAGGGAGGCCCCGGGATTCCCGTCCCTCCTGTGGCTGGTTATACCCTGACACTGAGCCGCTTCCGAGTCCACCAGGGCCCCTGCGCCAGGACACGAGAGTTGAAGGTGGAATTGGGGTCTCGCAGGAAGGCAGGCTTCAGCACGTATCCACAGGCCCCATTGTCCTGGAAGCGGCCATGGTACACGTCCATCTCTGGTCCAGGTGTCTGGAAATTCAGGGCCACTATAGACAGAGCAGAGCAGTCACAGGCTGTGGGCTGGCCTCAGGGGCCCAGGGCCCAGCCTGCTCAGGGCACACTGAGGCTCAGAGGCACAAGGTGAGGGAAGTAGAGTCTAGCATCATTCCACTTTTGGCCTCCTGCCACCCTAATGATCCACGACACCAACCTCACATTCCTCGCCATAATTCAGAGGACTGGTGTGCTGAGGATGGGATTTCAGACCCTGTGACGTGCCGGTGGAGAGACATTTCCAAACTGAGATTACCAGGCCTTGCTTGGGTCCCCAGGGGCTCCAGGCTGAAACCACACCAGGCTTCCTCCCAGCCCCAGGCAGCCCTTACCGATCTGGCAGCCTCCATTCCACATCTCCACGGGGCTGTAGTTGGAGGAGTCGGTCCTCCATCCAGCTGGGTAGATCCTGCTCAGGTGATTCACGTTGTGGCGGACAAAGCTGTTTCCTGAGGGGTCAGAGGTGGACACCTCCGGGTGAGCCCGAGCCCCTGCCCCAGTGTGTCTAGGAGCAGCCCAGGGGACAGCTCCCTCAGAGTACACAGCTGCTCACCTGATTCTTGCAGCAGCCGGAGGGCACGGTTCTCGGAGAAGGACGCCATCTCATAGAAAGCCTGGCCTGGGGTGCCGGGTCCAGCGAAGCCCCGAAAGTGGACACTCTTGCAGTAAATGACCATATCGGAGAGCTCCTGCACTAGCCTGAGCTTGTCCTCCTGGGGGCCATGGGGAGGCCCGGGTTAGATTCAGAGGCCGAGGCAGGTGAGCACTGAGAGAGCCAGCAACCCAGACGCAGAGACAGAGGTGGGAAGACAGACAGAGAGAGCGGGGCGGAAAGTCTGAGTGGCAACCACAGAGAACTAAGGCAGGGCCAGCACCCCACTGAGGGATGGGAGGGCCTGGGCCGCCCCTCCCCACCCACAGTGCCCCCTCGAACCCTGGGCTCGCGTGGCACGCGGCTCCTCACTGCCTCGTCCTCCATCTCAGCAGCCTCGTCCTCGTCCGACACGACGATGGCCTCAGGGCCACTTTCCCCTCCCGGGGGCAGGAGCCCCCCAAGCTTCTTCCCCTTCAGCAAGATCTTCCCCTTCAGTTGCTACGGGGCGGGGGGGACGGGGGGGTGCCAGCTGGTCAAGACGCCGGTGCCCTCCCGGCCAGTCCACATGCTCTCTTCTCTGGGCCCCCTCCCCACCTCGCACCTCTGGGGAGGGCAGGCTGGCGGTGGCCCCGTCCAGCGGTTGGCCCAGTAGCATCGGGCCCAGGATGGCGTGCAGGTGCCGCGCCATCACGCGCTGCTGCTCCAGGCTGCAGTGGTTCTCCAGCGACAGGATGACAGGGTAGGGGGATGCCTGGAGGCCCAAGGGCAGTTAGGAGGTGGCCGCCCCGCCCAGCCCTCCTTGCCCCCGGGGTCACGCCCACCTTGAAGGCGTAGTCTCGGATGGCCCTGAGCACGTCGCACAAGAGGATCTTGGAGGTGAAGGTATAGCCGTGGTAGATGACCGGCTCCTGGCTGGGCCCGTCCCAGCAGTCCAGCTCCAGGCAGCGGCAGCCTTTGCACAGCGCCCTGCGGGCGGGTAGCGGCTAGACCCCCGGTCCCCGCCCTCCTCCTCCCCGGGTCCCACCCCAGTTCCGCCTGTCGGAACCCCAGATGCCTGAGTCCCGCCCCACCGGATGTAGGCTTCTGTGCTGCTGGGCCCGGTGAGCTGGTCCTCCAGCAGGTAGGTGTTGTGGGACGAGGACACCAGGTAGTGGCTGAGCGGCTGGTCCATGTCCTGGTAGACCCGCCGGTGCGCCACGCTGAAGGCGCTGCCGTCGGCCGACAGCAGGTACATGAGGAAGCCGTCCTTAGTCATCTGCCGCCGCGCCTTGGCTGAGGGGGAGGATAATGAAGGAGGCAAGCCCCCACCACCCCTGCCTCCTCGCCCCAAGCTGGCCCTGGGTGCCCCGTGGAAGGGGTCTCCCTTAAGACTGATTCCCCCGGGTGAGGACCTCTGAAGGAGGACCTCATGTCCTCCTCTGAGAATAGGGGCCCTGCTTCTCTGCCGGGCCCTCTTCTTCACACAAGTTGGGCCCAGGATGGGCACAAACAAGGAAGCAAGTAAAGTGTCTGCGTCCCCAGCCTCCCTATTTCTTGGAGGAGGGAACCTCAAAACCCTCTGAAGACGGGACCAAGGGAGGGGTGGGGGTACTGGAGCCCTGCTTGCATGGGGCAGGCAAATCCTGGCCAGGGGCCCCAGTGCTGGCTGAGGCACCCAGCTCCCCTCCAGCTACCTTCTCTCGGGCTGGTCTCCCCAAGGCTCTCTCTGCCCGGTATAGCCCTAGGACAGCAGGCCCTGGCCAGGCCCTCACCAGTCTCGCTGGGCTCATAGCGCTCAATGAGGGACAGGGCCAGCACAGGCCCTGCTGCCTCCTCCCGCTGTTGGTGCTTCAGGAACGTCACTAACTGATCCACCGACAGGGTCTCCCCCGAGCCCGCTGCCTCCGCAAAGGTGTGGTCAATCTCCGCCCGCTTGGTGAGCATCTTGTAGAAAGCCTCAATCTCCTCATCCTCCAGGGAGTCTGTCTGGGAGTGGTCACATTCCTGCCAAGCCAGGTGGCAAGGCTCAGAAAATGCCCCTGACTGGGGTCAAGGACCCCACAGACCCATGCCTCACCCTGAAGATCTTCCGCGCGTAGCTGTCATCCACCTGGATGTTGAGCTCTTTCAGGAAGTTCTGCAGCTCCTTGAAGCTCATCTTATTGTCCTTGTTTTTGTCAGCTTTTCGCAAGCAAGAGTGAATCCAGCTGAGCAAGAAGTAAGGAAAGAACCCAGAAGCCCCAGTACCCCGAGGCCCCAGGGGTCACATGTCAAGATCAGTGCCAACTCCTGGGCCCAGGTGGACCAAGCCCACCTGCAGACACTGCTCCCTGCAGGCCTGACTTAGTGCACATCTGTATTCCAGGGACAAGACCGGTCGGTGGTCTTTTTGGAGGAAATGCTACATCCTATTAAGGGGTCTTTTTCCTATTTGCTGTCTTTGAACCCTGTGGGATTTCTAAAGTCACTTCTTTTCTCACTATAAAAGGGTTCACTGTAGACAATTTAGAAAATGCAGAAAAGTGAACAAACAAATCCCCCTAGTCCTGTCTCCCGGGGATAAGTATGTTAACATTGCGAAGTGTGTCCTTCTGTTTTTCAATATATAATTGTTAGCTAACTTGACTAAAGTACTTGAGGCTTGTTTTATAGGAAACAGCAGATTTCAAAGCCACAGATCAGACAGGTGAGGACATCACTTGCAAAAACCCAGCCCAGATCACGTCGTGATTGGAGCAGTTAGGCCCCCACTCCTCGCTTCCCTCTCTCCTCAGGCTTGACCTTGAGAACCAGAGAAGGTGGAGCACCACAGGACATTCCAGAAATTAGAAAACTGTAGAACAAAGACAGTGAAAACAAACACAAATGATAGCAGGTTATTAGAAGAAATCACAAAGAACGCAATGACATAATTGAGGTTATATGAACTTAAAAAAATTGTGAGGGTTAAGTTAAGAAAAAATAGTTGTTCAGCTGACTGACAGGAGGAAGCATTTGCAGCAGAGACTTTGAACAATTAATTTAAAAGAAAACTATGATGACCCTAATAACCAAATGAGAAATAAACTGACCTTTTGGAAATATTATTAGTAATCAAGGATATTAAGAATTTGAAAAGGGTGCAATTTCTTAAACTATAAAATTAGCAATTTAAAAAGTGCTAGTAAGAGTGAGGTGAAATGGACACTCATCCATCACTTGGGCACAGTAAATGGGTACAACCCTTAGGAAAGTGATACAGGAATAGCTAAAGCTTCAAACTGTTACATCATTTGACTCAGTAATTCTACTTGTAGGAATCTGTTGGTAAGGAAATAGTCCTCAATACTGAAAGGTTTTATGAACATAGTTATTTGCAATGTTATTTACAGTAGTGAAAGACTCAAAGTAAATATCCAGCACTAAAAGAATGGCTTACTAATTTACAATGCATCCATCCAGTGGAATATTGTACAGTCATTAACGCTGTTTATGGAAACTATACCAACCCAGGGAAATGATTATGACATATATGACATAATGTTACACAGAAAATGGATACAAATGTACATGACCTCCCCTATTTCGGCAAATGCATCATTAGGCAAATAGTGCAGGAAAGAAATAGGGAAGCATCAAAATTCCGGCAGTTTCTGGAGGAGGTTGATTTTGTGGATCTTTAAAACTTCACTATAACATACCCATGTTTTAGGAAAAATAAATAAATACAAGAAAAAAGTAATTATGGCAGAATTCCAGATGATAAAAAGACACCTTCAGAGTGGTCTAACTAAGCATGAGGTCCCCATACTGAATGCTATTCCACAGGCTGAAATGGCTTGATGATCTCAAGGTCTGAGCAGCATATTTACAGATCTACATGCAAAAATTGAAGTTGGATTCCCATATCACTCATACACAAAAACTAACTCAAAGTCTATCAAAGACCTAAGTGTAAGAGCTAAAACTGAAACTCTAAGAAGAAAACATAAGAGTAAATGTTTATGACTTTGGGTTAGGGAAAACCTTCTTAGATATGACATCAAAAAACACAAAACAACAGAAGCAAAAAGTAAAAAGATTTCACGAAAACTAAAATCTTTTGTGCTTCAAAGTATACCATCAAGAAAGAATGGAAGAAATTACTTGCAAAGCATATATCTGATAAGAGACATGTATCTAGAACATGTAAATAACTCTTACAAATCAATAATAAAAAGAATAAAAAGACAACCCAATTAAAAAATGGGCCGGGGATCTGAATAGACATTTCTTTAGAGAAGATTTATGAAATCACATTTAAAAATGTTCAACATTAACCATTAGGGAAATGCAAGTCAAGTAAGATCACAATAAGATCCCTATAAAAAAAAAACAAAGTAACAAGTGTTTGTTAGGATGTAGAGAAATTGGAACCCTTGTGCACTGCTGGTAGGAGTATAAAATGGTACAGATGCTATGGAAAACAGTATGGTCTTTCCTCAGAAAACTGAAAGAGTTACTATATGATCTGGCAATTCCATGTCTGGGTATATACTCATAAGAATTGGAAGCAAGGATTCAAAGAGATATTTGTACACCCATGTTCACAGCAGCATGATTCACAATAGACAAAAGATGGAAGCAACCCAAGTGTCCATTAATGGATGAATGAGTAAACAAAATATGGTAGATGCATACAATGGAAAATTGTTCAGCCTTAAAAAGGAAGGAGATTCTGATATCTGCTATAACATGAACCTTGAGGACATTAGCTGAGTAAAATAAGCCAGTCATAAAAAAGATGACTGCACTTACATTAGGTCCCTAAAGTAGTCACATTCAGAGACAGAAAGTAGAATGTTGATCACCAGGGGCTGAGGGAGGAAGGTGGAGAATGAGAAGTTGTTATGGGTATGGAGTGTTTCTGTTTTAGAGATTGGGTGCACAATAACATGAATGTATTTAGAACTACTAAAATGGTTATGATGCCAAATCTTATGTCATATTTTACCACAGTTAGAAATAAAAACTAAAATAAATAGATCCACTTAAAAAAAGAATTTAGCAACAAGAAGAATGGGCAAAAGATCTGAATAGACATTCTTCTCCAAAGAAGACATCCAAAGGCCAATAAACACTTGTAAAGATATTCAACATCATCAGCCATCAAGGGAATGCAAATCAAAAGCAAACTGAGCTGCAACTTCAAATTCACAAGGGTAGCTATAAAAATAACAATAACAAGTGTTAGTGAAGATGTGAAAAATCGAACCCTCATACACAGCTGGTGGGAATGTAAGTTTCCTCTTTGGAAAACAATGTGCCAGTTCCTCAAAAGGCTAAATATACAGTTCCCATATGACTCACAAATTCTAGGTATATATGTACACACACACATAGAAGAAATGGAACATGTCCACACAAAACCTTTCACACACTTGTTCATAGCAGCATTATTTGTAAAAGCCCCAGAGTAGAAACCCAAAAGTCCATCTAATGCAGAATGGATAAATTGTGAAACAGCTATGCACTGGGCTGTTCCCTCTTTCTCTTGCCATGTGAGGATACAGCTGGAAGGCAGCCATCTGCAGGCCAGGAAGTGGGCCCTCCCAGAACCCCTGCTCTGGCTTCCAGCCTCCGGGACTATGGGAAAATTAAGTTCTGTTGTTTAAGCACCCTTAACACCTTAAGCAATGTTCTACACTGTTTTGGTGGGCTAGCTGGAGCTGGGTATCTTCCATACCCAGGTTGTCCCAGAGACGACCACAGCCAGTGTCCATGGGCTGGGCCCGGACCCATGGCCACCAAAGGATACTGCTGCAGTTTCTGCCGCTGGTCCATGGAGCCCGAGTGCTGGATGATCTTGCGCAGGCCCTGCACCCAGTGCTGCATGTCAGCTGGTGAGGAGGCGATGAGGTCTAGTGGGCTGCGCTGGTCCTTAAAGATGATGGAGAAGCAGCGGTCCTCGGGCACATCACGGGCAAACTTCTCCAGGCCCTCCGTGCGGTGCCCCACCCGCACCTCCTGAATGTCCTCGATGGAGACTGCAGGAGGGGAACAGGGCAGAGAGCCATGAGGCCTGTGCCCTCAACATGGCTGAGGCCACAGTGATGGGGGGGCCAAGCTTGGAGACGCAGAGCCAGGGCTGAAGTTCAGGCCTTGGTCCAGAGAGAAAGGAGAGGGCAGGGCACAGGGCAAAAAGGAAGAACAGAGAGTGGGAGAAGGATCATGAGGCACAGCTATAGCGAGCAGGTGGAAATACACTGGGGGAGACCAAGAGACAACTCCAGGACGCAGGCCACCTTTCTGTGCTGGGAGCAGGGCCTGGGAGAGGACGGGGATGGGACGGGGCTCTTAGAGATGGGGAGAGAGCATTCTGCAGCCTGGGGTCTGTAACAGAGGCCACAGCTCTCCTGACAGTACCTGGCATTGCACCTGTCCTCCCCTCAGATAGCCATGGGAGCATTTGCGGCCCCTCTCCTGACCACTCAGTAGCTGTCTTGGTGTTGCTGGTATGGAAGACAGCTTCCCATGTTCAGGGAGTGGCAACACCCTGTGTACCCCCAGTGCCCTCCCTGGCCTGCCTGGGAGCCAGGCCCACCAGCTGGCTCAGGTTGGGCCTCCCAGCATTAGGGTCCAGTCTCTGCCCTTGCCCGCCCCTGCCCTGAGCCATCACATTTATCTGCCCTGGGTCCTAGACTAGCTTTAGCTGAAAGCCCACACCTTAAGGTGCCTCCCTGCACCCTGAGTACCCAGGAGCCTCCTAACCACCTACAGGTGCCATCAGTGTGGCACATGTCCCCCAGGCAGCAGGCTCTGAGGGGTGGGACACATGAGCCCTGGGCTATCTGGGGTTCAGGGGACATCCCTGCTTAATCCCCCAACCCACAGTCTCCTGTGCCCCACTAGCCCCACTCCAGCTGCTGCTGAGCCAGGCTGGAGGGAACACAGGAGGCCTGGGCTGTGCTGCTCCTGGGCCAGCACCACCACCGGCAGAGAGAGAGCCAGAGGCCTTCACTGCTGATAATGCCTTGTCTGGCGCTGGGAACCAGAGCTGGTGGGGTAGGGAGATGTAGATCACGCAGATGTAGGAAGCGGGAAGCAGAGGATGGGAACTGGTGGGGCTGCTCTGCTCCTCCTCACCTGGCCTCAGTTTCCCTGAGGGCAGAGTTGAGGACACAGGCTTACTGCTCACCCCGAGAAGGGAGGCAGCCAAGAGCAGCTCAGCTCAAGAGCTGGCATGGAAGGGGGCCTCTTCCACCACACTCTGCACAGGGAAGGCTGACCCCAGATCTGCCAGGCCTGCAGCCCCTCCTGTCAGGGTGCAGGCCCCTTGCTCAGGCCCCTTGGCAGTCTCACCTCTGCACCTTTGCTCACACCGGGTCCCGGGCCTGATTGCTCCTCCCACCCTGTGCTCATATCTGTCCCAGTTTGAGGGTCTCATCTCAGCAGCCCGGGTCTCCTGCTCGTGTGTCTGCCCCACCCACCCCCACCAAGTGCTGGGCGCACAAAGGGAACCATGCATATGTACAAACTGTAGGTGGGCTTTCAGGAATCCCCAAGGCTCAGAGAATAATCCCACCAGCTGCCACCTCCAGAATCTAACAGGAAGCCCCTATCAGGGCAGAGGCCCTGAGGGAGTCTGGCTGGTGCCCCAGATAGAAGCAGGGCCCAGTCACTCCAGTGCCATGCAGCAGACATGCACCCAGGACAGTTTTCTGAGAGCATTTTAGGCTCCATCCCCTCCAACCCTGCCCTGTTCTGCCCCTAACCCTTCCAAGGCCCCAGCCACTCTTCCCATCTGACCCTGCCCTGTCCTGCCTCACCTCTCGCCCTTCCATAGGCCACAGGCCCTCAGACCATAACTTCTTAAGTTGCTGCCTGGTGTCCTGACTCCTGACAGACCCTGCCTGGGGCACCCTCAGTGGGTTGCCCCTCCACTTCTACATGCCCCCTCCCACCTTGGGCTTATCACCTGTGTCTGGCCTCACTCCCCACAGACCTGCCAGTGGGCTGACCCTGCCTGCCCACAAGGTCCAAAGGCAGGTGAATGGGTGAGGGATTTCCAGGAGTCTGGGCTGTGTGAAATCAGGCTGCAATGATCTTTCTGGGCTGTCCAGCACAGCAGCCACCAGCCACATGTGATATTTAAATATAACTTAGTTAAATTCAGTACAATTAAGAATTCTGTCCCAGTCACACTAAGCACATTTCCAGGACTCAGTGGCTGCAGGTAGCTAGTGGCTCAGATTGGACAGCAGAGATATAGAACGTTTCCATTTTCAGAGAAAGTTCTTTTGGCTGGCATTGATCTAAAATTTCCCCAGCAAGGAAAGATGCCGCGCTGACTTTTCGGCACTGTGTAGGAGAGCAGCAGCCGGGAGAGCTTTCTCCCTGAGGCCTTGCAGGAAGCCCTCTCCATTTGTGGGCCTGAGTCTTGGGTTCCTGGGCCATCTCTGAAGCTTCCAGAAAGCCCTCAAGCCCACACCCTCTCTGCAAGTCCCAGCCCTGCTCCACCCCGACCTCCTTGCTGTGACCCCACTCTCAGGGAGGAGCTGCCTCCTGTGGCCCCACCTCACATCCTGGCCACTTATACCCGGAAGGGCCTTATCTGCCCCCGGACTTTGGGCCCAGTGCTCAGCCTCACTACACCTGGAGTCCCGGTGTGCCCACTCCCTCCTCCCCACAACTGTCTGGGTAGATACCTATGAGTTCAGACAACGTTGTCCAGCAACCTCCCTACTTCTGAGGCCAGCTTTCCATCTGTGGTCATGGAGAAGTACCCCTACCCTCAAAAGGCTTTAGTATCTCCATCTGTGGTCTTCCCTGACTGCCCTCTCCAGTCCAGAGAAGACCTCCGTTTCCCCAGTTCAATTTCCCTGTATCTGGTCCTGGCTGCATGACTGACCTAGGCCCCCCAGGTCAGGCCCCAGCTTCCTATGATTGACCGCCACCCCCACCCCACCCCACCCGACCCCAGCATCTGGGCACAGGTTCCACACTCTGCTCCCACCCAGCAGCCTGGGGCACTCACACAGCTGGGACTCTGGGGTCCGCATGACTTTGCGGGACTCTTGCCAGATAGTCTTGCAGTCCTCCTGCAGCTTGTAGAAGCGCTCCCTCCGCCAGGAGCTGGACTTCACCTTCAGCAGCTGGCTGCCCTTCAGCAGTGCCTGCAGGTCCTTGTCATCCTGTAGGCCTAGGGAGCACAGCTGGTAAGAGGCCACCTCCTCCAGGGTCCTGCTGCTCCCGGCCCCATGCTGGCCATACCCACCTCAGGACCCTTTCAGAGTCTGCTTCTCAGCAACTTCATCATCTGTTCACTCCTCCCTCCTTCACCCATGCTCCAACCTGATCCTGGAGCCCTGCCTCCTCCAGGAAGTCATCTCTGACTGCTAGCTGAGGCCATGTATACCTTAAGAAGCCTTCCCACTCGGGCCACACTTCATACACTGTGACCTTCCATCCACAGCTGCTTGGACAAAGGGGGGACAGCTAATCCAAGAACACCTGATTCCTGGGGGACCAGACCCCTAGATAATGGCCTGGCTCTGGAAGATAAAGTCGACCTCTCCCAGTCAGACTTTGGGGTCAGAGTGACCTGAAGGAAGCTGGGACCAAATGATCAGGTAGAGAAGTTAAAAAAGGGGGGCTAACCAGATGGAAACAGACTCCAGGGTATCAAGAGCCCAACAAATGCCCAACTTCAGTGGCTCCAGAATCCCCCATGTGTAGGTCCAGGTCCCTGTCCTGACCAACAGTGACCTGGGCAAGTGACTTCATGTTGCTGGGCTTCGGCTTTGCTATCTATAAAGAGGATGATGGTAGTGTCTACCTCAAAGGGAAGTTCCCAGGTTAAGTGAGATGATGCAGGAATCTGGGGAGGGCCCAGGGTAACAGCATTTATATTTCCAGGTGTTCACATGGGGGTTGCTGTAGGACCCAGGTCCACCCTGGCCACCCTCACTCCTGCCGCTCCTACCCCTGACTTGAACCTGGGTCTCTCCGATCCTTGCTCCCAGAGGAGACAGATGAGCCCACTGCGTCTGGCCTGAAGGGATGCCCCCGTACTCCCTGCCCACGTCATTTCTGAGCATCCTGGGTCTGGGACCCTCAGGGTACAGAGGGCCTGAGGCACAGTGCAGCCCTTTCAGAAGCCAGGGCAGGACCTGCCCAGCACCTCATGGAACCCCGGCTGCTTGGCCTCCTCCAGCCCAGCTCTCTTCAGAGACCCAAGCTGGCCCATGAGCTCCCAAAGATACAGTGCCCTTGGTCCTACTAGGCCTAAGCAGGGGCCTCCAAAGGGGCACCAGGCCTGGCTTCCCAGGAGCCCTCACCCCTAAGCAGACGACCTGCAATCAAGGAGAGCCCCCATCTTAATGACCCATCAATATCAGAGAAAGATCTAGATCTGCCACCCTAGCACATGAAGTCCAGCAGCCATGTTCAAAGCCAATTGGCCATCTCACCTCACTTCAGTCCCCAAAAGTAAAACTATGTTACCCTTCTGCAATCTTATCCTTCTGTCTCAGTGAAGTGGTATATTAGGGAACACGTGGGTCCTGTCTTAGCGGCCAGTACCTAGGCCTATAGGCTTTTCTTTTTTGAGCCCAGATCCCAGCCTGAGAGACTCTACCACTTTCTCTGTGCCCTCCAGTCCCCAGGCAGTCTGCTCCCACATCCATAGGACCTACAGAACCTTCTGGACCACTTCCCAAGCTTCAGTCACCCACACCTTCTCTATCCCTCCCCAGTCTCCGTGTGTCCAGCCGGGACAGAGCCCAGTGCTAACACCCACCCGCATGGCCTTAGGCAGTTCCTTGCCCTCTCTAGGCCTTTGCCCCATCAGCACTGGGCGAGAAGAGTGTCTGAAGAACATCTCTGGGTCTCGTAGAGGTGACAGTCTGATGTGACCTTCCTCCACTTTGCCCCAAGTCTCTCCCGCCCCTGGGAGACCCCTCTGACTTAGTGTGGACAGCTCCTCTGGGGCCCAGGGGAGGGAAAGGGTGCTCCTGCAGGGTATCCTAAACTGTTGGCTGGGTCTGTGGGACTCAGGGCCAGAGGGAAGGGAAGAGAGCACCCAGATGCCACAGCAGAGAGCCACCAAAGCCTCTTCTGGGGGTGCCACTGTCCTTTCTGAGGCTGAGGTACAGCTGGGAGGGACACCTTACTCTGCCTGCACCTCAGCCCCAAAGCTGGGCAAGACACAGATGGGAACAGGGGGAGGGGGCGGAAAACAGAGGTGAGTCCCACCCTCAGGGTCTGGAAAACACCATGAGAAGATAACAAGTTCATCCTGTCCCGGAGCCAGGCTGTGGCCTTGTCTGCAGTCAGGCAGAGATAAGACCCCTGGTTGTCGACACAGCTTCCGGGACAAGTACCTTACCCCAAAGTGGGCCTTGATAATCTCCGCTGCCCTCGGGGCCATTGGAAACCCAGGTAGGCACCTCCATCTCTGAGGCCCTGTGTCTCTGAGGCCTCTGGGAGCCACCACCCCGACACACACTCTTGCTCATTTAGCACCCAGAAAGTTTGGGCACGCCTCTCCCAGCTCCCCACTCAGCAGAACTACCTTCTCCTCCTACAGGAGGGTGTATGGAGGGCCTCTGAGCTCAGGCCACCAAGCTGCCCAGGCTAGCAGCACAGTGAGGTGGCCACATGGCAGGGGGCAGAGGCAGAAGGGTGCCAGAGGTCCTCCCCATGCATTTAGGGTGCCACAGAGCAGAGACAACTGGGTGTGTGGGACCCACAGCAACACAAACACAGTTATACATGGCCATATACAACCTCCAAGACACACTGAGCCTACACAGTGACACACAGTTACATGGGGTCACACACAGTCACACAACCTACCGTGCCAGACATGACAGCACTGATAAAAGCAGCCGCCACAATGGTAACAGTCAACATACTAATGAGATATACTGTTCTTAGCTCATGTGTTTAATTCCAGCATACCCCTATGAGGGAGGCCATCAGTATTCCCATCTTACAGATGAGGAGATTGAGGCTCATGTAATTTAATGATAGAGTCAGGACTCCAAAGCCTGGCCAGACTGTCACGCTGGACAACATTCCTAACACAGCTACCACTCAGCGGTACACTGAGTAACATCACACGGGCAACATCAGAAAATCCGCATCTCACACAACCATAACACAGAAAGGCACTGCTCAGTCACCTGGGGCACCCTCTGTTAACATCTATCACACACAGCATTCACAGGGCACAGCATCACACTAGATCCACAGTTGTGCTGGTACCCCAATGTCACACACTTGGTAACAGCATTACATGTCATCACTGCTGCACTGTAGCCCCAAGTGCCACAGACGTGACAGAATCACCAGTGGGTCACACACTGAGTCACTCGTTGTCATACTTAGGCATACATATTTGTAGCGGGCCACATGCTGTACCCTAATCATCTCACCGGGTTACCAGTTACCACTTACACATCGGACCACATACCTGGTGCAGCTCGGAAATGTGTACACAGGAGGGGCTGGGGTGATACGGGGCGGAGAGCTTTGGAGGGGCTGAGGTAGATCAGGACAAGGGGTAACCAATCCCGCCAGTAGGCACTCCACACACCACTCCTGCCAACAGCCCCGCAGCGGCTCACACACTCACAGCAGTACTTAACAGGTCCCATAGCGGGACCGGGACTCTGCGTCCTGCCCCGCTGCCCTCCCCCTCCGTAGACGGAGCCCGGCGCCCCTTACCCAGCCGCTGCCCATTGAGCGCCGCCACCCTGAGGCTCTGCTCCTGCAGGGAGCGCTCCGCGGAGCGGCTCCGGCCCCCCAGGCACTGCATGGCGACCCCACGCCCTGCTACCCGCGGAGCTGGATGGGGACAGAGCTCGAGAGGCACGCCCGCCGGGGGCGAGGAGCAGCCGGAGCCGAGCGGGGCGGGGCGAGCGCCCGGGAGGCGGAACCGGGCCAGCAGGGGCGGGGCCATGGGAAATACGTGCTGTACGGGGTGGAGCCGATGCCCTCGCGAAGGGCGGGCGGCGGGAGCAGAATCCAGACATGGAGAGGGGGAGTCCGACCGGGAGACGGAACGGAAGCAAATTCTTGGGGAAAGCCTGAGCCCAGGGAGTGGCCGGGGTCGGAGCCAGGACCAAGGAGGGGTCGACGTGAAGAGCCGGCCCAGGGGGCGGAGCCAGGGCCGAGGCGGGGGACGGGGCGGGTCCTGCACTGAATAGGCGGGGCTCTGGCTGCAAGGGGCGGGGCCTCTGCTGTGGCGGCGGCGCAGCTCCACAGCCTGGCAGGCGGTGGAGCCTGGGTGGCGAATTCTGGTTGCGGGCTGGGGGCCTGACCGGAGGCGGAAGGAGGGAGTCAGATGGAGCCGGGGAAGGAGCCTGGGCCAGACAACCGGGCCAGCCAGAGCCCTTATCCAACGAATTCACTGTGACTCAACTGGTTGTTGCCTCACTTGTTGCCTCTTGGCAAGCCTGTTTTCTTCTCTCAGTTTACCCATTTGATGGGGTAATCTCCAAGGTTCCGGGAGCGAATTCTGAAAAAATGCTGATCTTAAAAATGATTCCATTAACGCAGGTTTGTGTGTGGATAAATAGACGAGAACGACTGCAACTTTTACAAAACTGTGTGCCAGTGTGCTCGGGGACAGTGGGAGCTTTCATGTAAGTTACAACTTCCCTTTCATTCACCCAGCAATTTTTATTGAGCCCCTACTGTGTGCTAAGGTCAGGACCCTGCCCAGAGGCCTGACTCACTGTGTTCCTACTCCTCCCCTCTGAGTGGTGCCTCCCTTGGCCCTACTCCAGTTCCTCCCCAGCACTGACAGTGAATCACTGGCAAGGCCAGTTATTAGCACAGACGAGCACAGCAATAAGAACCAACCGAATGAGGAGGGACTTGCATAAGGCCACACCACCAGAATACATCATGAGAACATGTTAGTGGGATGAACTGAAATGGGGGCACAGACATTTGGAGAGCAGTGAAGCAGAGGGGAAGGATCTGTTTTAGTGAAACCACACAAGGGTTCTTAACCAGAGGACCAAGGACCCCACCCTCCAAGAACCTATGGATAGAATCACTTCTCAGGATAATTCTCTTCCTTTGAACTCTTATGTACTTTATGTATTTAAAAACATCCTGAAAAGGGGTCCACAGGCTTCACCTAACTACCAAAGTGGCCTATGGCACAAACAAACTCAAGGTCAGTGTGTGTATGTGCAGTGCGGGCCTGGAGACAGCTGTAAACGTAATTGAGGTGTGTAGGGAGCTGGCCACCCCAACTTGCTACAATGGCTCTGGAATCATCTCTTGCGGGTACTGGCTTTTTGACCATCATAGAGTTCCTGTGCCCATGAGCACCAACCTGCACAAGATCCCCTGTGAAGTAAGTACTGCTATCCCATAGGTGAAAAAACAGGCCCAGAGAAGCAGAAGCACCTGCTCAGGGTCACAATGTAAGTAAAGACAAAGCTAGGGCTGGAACCCAGGTCTCCCAGGGCCAAGATGAGGCACCCTACAGCCTACTTTCAACTTTTACAACTGCTGGTCTGTACGGCAGGGGAGGAGAGAGTCCACGTAGGAAAGTTTAGTGGAGGTGGACATGTTCGGTCAGGTGAGGGCCCTGGGAGGTAACATCCTTTCAGTCACCTCTGGGGGCGGAGGCGTGTGGAGAAGCCAGTGTGGGCCTGGCTAGAATGGAGAGAGCAGCAGAAAAGTAGTAGGAGGAGACCAGGTGACTGGAATCAGTCTGAGGGCTTCACAGGAACCAGAATCTTAAGCCCAGTTCTGGGCACATTTTTGCTGGCTAGTAAATACCCTTATTATGCCCCCCTCATTTCCCAAAGAATTCACAGGCATGGTCATTTTTTTTGGCTGAGGGGAAAGGGGCTGTGGTTCCTGCAGGAGCATAGTACCCACTGGGAACCAGGCACTGTTCTCATTGCCTTATATGTTAACCACATTCAATCCTCATAGCAATCCTTTGAGGTAGGTAGTGTGCTTAGTCCCCATTTTATACATGAAGAAACTGAGACACAAGAAATCCAGGGATTTGTCAGAAATGAAAAAGCCAAGACTTGAACTCAGGTGGTCTGCCTCCAGAATCCATGTCTGTGTACTACACTGCCTCCGCATGCATCTGGGGGAAGGTCACAGGGACATCTCATCTCTAGGTGGGCCCCAGAGCTCCCCAGGCCAATGCAGGGGGCCTTTCTGTGGCAGACCCCCAACTGCCCAAGCCAGATAGGGTGGTCCTGCAGGACATGTTCAGTGGCCCAAAATATGAAAGGAGAGCAGCCTCTCCAGTGGAAGTGTGGACAACCTGAAATAGTACAGCACAACTGTCTGCTTCCACTACCAATTCTCCATGACAGGTTCTTGCTTCCTGATCTGGTTTGCAGGCGGGACAAAAGGCAGCTAAGGGAGGTAATTTTGGGTGATGAGCTAGAAGTGGCAGGGCCTTCATGGAAACAGCTTGGAGTTGCAGTGTTCCTGCCAACTCTGCAGGAAGGGCTGGTAGACTCAGCCATTTGGGAGGCAGGGCTCCAACAGGATGGGCCAGGACAGCCAAGCCCATGCCACAGCCCAGGCTGATGGAGCCTGCATGCGTCTTCCTCTCCAGGGAAGATACCAGGATTAAGCAGGGAGAGAGTCTGGACCGAGGCACAGATGCCTGCGGATGGAGCCCATTCCATGAGCTGAGGCTGTAGCTGTGCCACAGGCACCCAGAGGGCTTGTAGGTGGGCTGGGTGTGAGACAGGCACAGAAGAGGGGACAGTCTGCAGGACAGACAGCACTAGCTAAGGGATGATGAGAGTGAAAGCAGAGGAGACACGGTGGTCCTCCGAAGTGCCCAACCTCCCTTCCTGCCACTGTGGCAGGAGCACTAAGGACACCTCTGCATCTGAAGGGGGAGGAGCACCAGAAGGAGCCAGGATCCCATGACCTGGCTGGAGAGGGTTGCCTTGAGGATCCCAGGACCCTGATGTGGAGGGACAGCTCTGGGCACTGAGCAAGGTCTCTTGGGGCCACAGGAACTTGGCCAACCAGGGAACACGAGACAGACTGGGGACTGGCTGAAAGGACCATGTCCAAATCCCCCTGAATTCCAGGGGGTCTCTAGTGGTCTGCTGGAAAGGCTCTGCCCTTCTCTCTCCCATCCATCATCTTCAGGTATGGTTTTGATGGAGAGGTGGTGGGCACTGAAGTCTCCAGTCCCAAGGGTACTAAACAGGGAGATAGGCAGTGACTGGTGTGAGGGGCAGCGTTTTCTGAGCTGGCAGATGACCTAGGGGACAGAGGGCAAGGCCTCCCTAAGAGTGGGTGAGTCCCCAGGCAGGAGCAGAGATGTCAGATCCAGGTTGGGAGTGCGTTCAATCAGACCTCCAGGCCCTGCAGTCGGAATCCTAGAGGGACAGCGACGGGGCAAAGCGCTGGCCCAGACTCTGTTCCCTGCTCCTCCTGCCGGTGGATACAGAGCTAGGCTGGACAAAGGGATGGACCCCAGGCGGTGCGAGCTGAGACTTGGCCCTGTCCCCCTGGGAGGGTGCACAGGTGGGGCCCCAGGCTGCTGCTCCCAGACTGGGCATTGCCCACCATGACCTATGCGCTGGACCCCCCAACCCCGACCTCGGCCAGCCTCGCACACCTCCGCGCCACGCGCGCCAACCCCAAGCCGCCACACCCGCGCGGCCGGACGCGGTCCAGGTCCGCCTGGCTGGGGCGCCTCCCGGGCGGCCGGACAGGGTCGGGGGGGCTCTGATGTTCGCAGATGCAGGTCCCTTTCTTCCTAGGCCCCTCCACGCTCACCGGAGAGTGGAGCCCAGCTTTCCCAGATCAGAACAGCGGGAGTCCTCTGGGCCGCGGCCGAGGGTTCTCCCGGGAGGTCTTCAGAGCTGCAACCATCCCTCCCCACCGGCCGAATATTGGGACAAACCCGCAACTCCCAGGGCCGCGCCCCGCAGCCCACCACGGGAGTCCGGGGCCGAGATTTCCCAGCGCGACCCTGGGAGGGAGGGCACGGGGCGGGTCGCGCGCTCAAAGGAGCTGGGGGTCGCGCGTCGCCGGGGACGACTCCCAGCGGGCCGGCGGGCACTCACCGTGCAGGGCCAGGAAGTCCCGGCCCGAGTCCATCCCCGACGGGCGGCACGGGGCGGTGGAGACCGAAGGAACTGCGGGCGAGCAGGGCGGGTGGGCCGACCGTGCCCCGCCCCCGGCCCGCCCTCGGCCAGCCACCCCGCCTGGCCAGCGCGGGGAACGCCGAGCGGGCGCGGGCCGCCGGGCCTGGGGACGCGCCTTGCCAGAAATAGCTACCTCCTGCTGCTTCCCCGGCTGCCGCCACCCGCGGGCCCGCGCCCTGCCATTACTCGGGGCCTCCCGGTCCCGCCCCGCCCGCGGGCGTCCGGCCGGGTTTGGGGCAAGGCGCGAAAGAATGTGGCGTCACCTTGAGCAAAGGACCGACCGCGTAACTTCCGACGCCCCGCAAGCCGCTGCAAAAGGGCGCTGGGCGTCTGCTTTCCCTTCTGCAAAATGGGGGCCCGGCACGGTTTAGGAGGAACTCGGTGAGGCAGGCCTGACCTTGTCACGAGGAGGGCCCTCCTTTGCCTCTCCTGTGAAGTTCCCAACCCCAGGAGAGCTTTTGGTGGGGGCTGGGATGTGCTTGAGGAAAGCTTACAGCAAGTGGGTGCAAGGAGCTCACCTTGGAGGCCCTCCCACCAGACTCGCACCCATTGGTTCAGCAGAGTGGGGGACAGGACCTGGGGTGGAGTGACATCTCCAGGCTCCCTTCTTGGAGCCCTATGTGGACCTCCCTCCCACCCTTAGTCCTGGCAATCCAGACACCTTCTTTATAGGATACCCAGAGACCTCTAGGGAACGTCCAGGGATCCTGCTGCCCACCACCCTCTGGGAGAGAAGAGACCCCATAAGGCCTCCAGGATTGGTGGTGCTGGGCCCACCATCACCCAAGCTTCCTGGGCTAATGAAGCCAGTGAGAGTCCAGCAGAAGCCGGTTCCACCCCTCCAGGAGGAGGAGGCCTGGCACACCCCAACCCCTCCCCTTCCCAGCATAAGCAGGCTACTGGTGGCCTGAGCACCCCCGAAAGGATGTAAACCAACCAGAGGGTACATCTTCAGGTTCTGAGGGTTGACACTGGGTGGGGACTTCAAAACTTTGGAGAGCCCCCCTCCGTGGGGTTGCCTCTCCTGTACAGAGCAGTAGGAGCACCCTGTGCAGCCGGCGGGCCTGTCAGACCCCTTTTTGGCTCCCATCCCCTCAGGGATGAGCAAGCCCACACTGGCAGGCCTCACGTGGGATGCCCAGCTCCAAGGACAAGAGGGTCCTTTCTCTGCCTTCACCTCTGTGTCTCCTACGCAAGGGCTCATGCCTCCAAGCCTTCCTTCTGGGGGCCTCCCCTGGGCTTGGGGTCTACTACCCATACCTCTGACTTCCCTGAGGGTCTGCAAAACCCCTTGCTTAGCAAGTCAGGCCTCCTGAAGTCCTGTTCCTCTTCCCTGGAAGACACAATAAAATCCTGACACTAGCAATTGACTTGGCTTCATTGCAATGATCTGTTTATTTACATCACTTCCCAACTCTGAGCCCAAGCTCCAAGCCAGGGCATTAGCTGAGACTGTCCCAGATGCCACAGGTGGGGGCTGCAGCCAGACTATCATTGCATACCCAAAACCTACCCCACACAGGCTCTCTTCTGGCCTCTGGCACAGATAGAGTTGCTAAAGCCTTCTTCCTGGCTAGAAGTCGTTAGGCAGGATGATATGACTGACTCAGAGTTGGTGTACATAACCGAGTTCTGCCAGAAAGTGGGCTGGCCCACGCCCTGCTCAGAAAAACAGGCTGCTGCTCTGACCTGTGGGTCAGTCTGCTCTCCAGTTCTCTCCTCTCCTCCCTTCTGCTCCTGCCCCAGGCTGGGAGGTGCTCTGCTTGTTTCTGCTGGGTGTAAGACTGTGTGGTGAGGATGACTGTACGTCTTTGTGTGGAGCGGCTGCAGGGCCCAGCAAGAGGCTTTGTACCCAACTACAAAGCTGCTGGAGTCTGTCCCCTGCCCTAAAAAAGCCCTCTGTGGGCCCTGCCCTGGCCAGACACCTCAGTCACCCACCTCAAAAGCCAGCCCTCAGTTCCCTCTGCAAGATGCCATGAAATCCTGGTCACTCAGACTCTCGGCAGGCTCAGTTCGTGTGCACAGAGGGACCGCACATGCCCAAGGACTAGCTGTCTCACGGAGTCCTGGGCATCTCTTGCAGCCACCCATCCTGTCTTCAATGTGTGAGAGGGTTGGTGTGAGGGGAGGGGTGACTGGAGATGCCTCATTCAAGGCCAATAGTCTCCTCCAGTCACTTTTCTCGGCCTTTCCACTGCTACCCTCTCTGGAAGCCTGGGAGGGGAAGGACCAACCCAAGAATGCCAACTTTCAGGATGGTCAGGCTCCAGGTGTGCTTCATGGCTGGCCCTGCCCAACCTCTCTCCCAGAAGCACAAACCTAAGCGGGGAGGGGAAGTGGACCAGGCTTAGTCTGCCCCTCCATGTCTCTGGAGCCCCTGTCCCTGGGCGAAGGGTTGTTTGAATCTTGGCTCTGGTGGTCACCGAGCCTTGCATGAGATTTCGGTCTAAGTGCACGCTCCTGATGCTTGCGAGGGCTGGAAACCCATCTGAATTTCCTCCAGAAGGCCTTGGGCCTAAATCTAGATGCATCAGGAGGAAATGTAAAGGCTCTTTTGCCAGGGAAACAGCTATGGCAAAGTGAGCATGCTCAGATCATGCCAGGAAAACACAACTGACCGTGCAGGGATCCAGGAGGCCAAGATGGAAGACTAGGTTTCTGGGACCCCAGGAGACTATGGATAACTGGGGATTACTTTTCCATGATTTGTGGGATTTTATTGCATACTCATTTTTTAATGTCACTGATCTCTGTTTCACTGTGGACTAAGTCCCAGCACTCCCCCTACCCTGCCACCGACAGAGTCTAGTGTTTAGTGTGGGGAAATAGCAGGAAATGTCCTGAGGGAGGAGGCGCAGCCCAGTCCACCTGAGGGAGAAGGTACAGTTAAGGGGTGTGTGAAATGAAGACAGAACTGATCTGCTATTTCATTCAACAAATACATACTGGATACCTACTGTGTACCAGGCACTGCTATAGAGGCTTGGGAATCATCTGTGAACAAAATATTTCAGAAGCCCCTGCCCTTGCAGAGCTTAAATTCTAATAGCAAGAAAAGAGAGACTATAATATATACAAGAAGTAAATTGTATAGTGAAAGGAAAGCAGCAACACACAGCAGCAATTCACCGGAGAATTCCGCTTTATTAGGGAAAGGTGCTGGGTTATTTAGGAAGGGGCATGGAGTGATTGTGGTGTTACTTCTACGGGGCTGGTGGCTATTGGCTAGGTGCTGGGATTGGGAGGGGGACGAGAGGTGATTGGGCTTCAGGAGGCACCGGCGGGAACTGAGGATCCCCCACCCCCACCCCCAGGAGAAGCCGGAAGTTCGCCATCTTACTGGTGGGGGCCCTTCATATAGTATATCATGAATTAATTGCATAGTATATTTATTATAAGTTATAAGAACAATTTTTTTAAGGGTAAGGGAATTCAGCAATGGGAGAGGGTTAAATTTTAAATAGGATCTACAGGGAAGATGACATATGAGCAAAGACTTGTCAGAGGTGAGAAAGTGGGCCATCCAGAGATATCCAGGGAAGAGCTTTCCAGGCAGAGCAGACAGGCAGTGCCAAGGCCCTGAGGCAGAAGTGTGATGTGCTAGAGAACTAGAAAGGTGGCCAGAGTGGCTGGAGCAGAGGGAGCAAGAAAGAGGGATGATGAGTAAGGAAGGAGAGGTCAGGGGGACCAGGTCCTGTTGGGCTTCTTCTGGAGCACTGAGAAGTGCTCCAGCCAAGGAGGGACACAATCTGACTCAGGTCTGAAAAGAAGCTCTCTGGAAGGAGCTGTGTCATAGAGGGACAAGGCTAAAGCAGGAAGTCCAGGGAGGAGGCTCTTACAATAATGAGAAGAAAGTGGCTGGTGGCTTAGACCTTGCGGATGGGAGTGAGGTCATGAAAAGTTGGAGATTCTGCATACATTTTGATTACAGAGCCAACAGGATTCACTGGTGGCAACTAAGAGAAAAAGAGTCAAGGTGACTCCAAGTTTTTGGCCTGGGCCACTGGGAGGAGGGAGTTCCCAATACCTGAAATGGCTGAGGAGGAACAGGTGCTGAGTTTGAGGTGCCTTCAGATATCCAAGGAAAGATGTCAAGTACAGGGTGGACATACAAATCTGGAGTTTTGGAGGGAGAAGATGTGGGCTGGGGACAATATTTATGTGGTTCAAACATGTTTAGAATGTATATAAGCTTTCATACAATGCTGCTGGGAATCTACTCAGATGATTTTTCTGGAGGGCAATTTGGCATCACCTCAAATATTAAAGTGTTAATACCCTTTGGCCAAGTAATTTTTAATTCTGTGATATCAGATTCTAAGGTATTATCTGTATATTACACAAATATATTGTGCAAGATGAAGTTCATTAGCAGTGACCTGGTTAAATTATATTTCCATATAGTGGATCCCTTGCATTTGTTTAAAAAACACACACACACCACAGAAAAACCATTTCTCTGTGAATTGCTGTAGAAGTGAAAAAAAGCAAAAGGCAGGTCAATATATGTAATGTATGATATGTCATTTGTGCTCTTCAAAAATTAAAAACAAGTTTACAGATATTGGTGCTTGTGTAGGTAGAAAAAATAGCTGAGGGATAGATAATTCAAGGGGTTGAGAGGAAGATACTTCTTATTTATGTACCATTTGAATTGTTTTTTTACCATAATGATGTATAACTTTTGAAATTTAACAGTACGTAAAATGAAAAGGCAAAAAATGCATGTGGGAACCCAGAGATAAACAAAAACTCTGGCCAGCAGAACAGGTTATAAAATCAAGGTAGCTCAAGAAATCCCCTTTGTGCTATTGAAGTCTTCACAGGGGAGGCAGCTGGAGATCGGCTCAGAAGGTGACAGCCCTTTGTTACTGGGGCAGGGCTTGAACCATTTGTTTATTCAGTTGTCAGAGAGCAACAAGGGAATTGGATGCTGGGCAGGTCAGAATCAGGGATGAATACAGCTTATCAGGCAGAGAGATACCTACTAGCAGAAGAGGGAGGTGAAGGGTGGAGATGGGGGAGGTACAGAGGAAAGGGGAAGACAAGGGAAGAGAGTGAGTCATTAAAAAGGAAAAGATACTGTTGAAAGGCCCAGGAGGACAAGGACAGAGCACAGACTGTCACCACAGAGGAAATGGAGGGTTGCTGGAGACCTTGGCTTGGAGAGCAGAGGGGGCTGAAGCCAGAGGGAGGGGTCAGAGAGAAAGGGAGAGACCTCTCCCCAGGCAGGGTCAGACTCCCTGTGATCTTCAAGACTGTTGTGAGGCAGGATGGAAAGGCCAAAAGTGATGGCAAAAATCCACTGTTCTGTCTTTCTCTAATGTAGGGAGGGGGCCAGGGGCCTTCACAAGTGGAACTGCTCCTAGCCAACAAGGCCACTCCTCATATCAGAGCAGTGGATCCCCCCGGCAGACCATTCTGCTTCCCACACACAGCTCCTTCCTGCACCAGGTACCTGGTAGGATATGGACAACTGGACAAAGCAGCCCTCTTGCCCAGTTTCCCTGCACCTCCACCTCCCACTGTGCTACCTCCTAGCACACACACAAGTCAGTGATGGGAGCAAGGCCTGCACAGGCTCTGTCTACGGACTCAGAATGCTTGGGCAAATAATTATGGGGTCCCAGCTACCTGGAGGGCAGGTATGGGGCATGTCATCAGTGGAGAAGAGAGCAGCTCATGGAGAGCCAGAGCTTCCCAGCATGGAGGACAAAAAAGGCACTGGAAAGGATGGATGAGGGAGCCACCTCAGAAGCAGAAGCTGCTCAGCTCTGTGGGTACGCATCCTGGGGCACATCTCAGGAAGTGGTTTTCAGGCCATTAAGTCATGCAGACTTACCCCACAGTGAAAAGTGGCTGGTCCTATCAACTGTGAGCAGAAGCCATGGTGTGCCAATGGCAAGGCACTGTGGTGCCAAGCTGCTGCCTGGACCAGTGCAGTGTCTCCCCCGTGCAGTGGTGATGTAATTGCCTGCCTGGTTGCCCACTCGGGATGTCTGGGAGTCATTCTTGGCCCCTGTTCTCACTGCCACTGTCCTTGGGCAGGTCTTGTCAATTCTACTTTCCAGATCTACCTCCAACCAGCTTCTCTCGCCCTACCCCAAGTTCCCTTCATCTGTCCTAGCCTCTGCAAGTTTCCTAATTGATTCCCCTCATGCCTCTTGCTTCCCTTGTCTGTTCTTTCACAGCAACCAGTGATCCTGGTAAAACACAGAGCAGACCATGACCCACTCAGCTTAAGAGCCTTGACGGCTCTTCTGCTGTCCTCAGAATAGTTTAAATTCCCTGTTGCCTACAAACCCATTTTTGACATGCTCCTTACCCACCAGTTCCATTCTTCCCCCTCACTCTTAAGTTCCACTTCCCGAACTTTGATCCCTTTGCGATGCACTCCCAGAGGACATGACGGGTTTCCCCTGCCAGGTGTGACCTTTCCCCTTCTCTCCTGGCTTATTCCTACTCATTTTCCCCACTTTCTCCACTTAAAAAAAATTGAAGTATGATTTTTATATAGTAAAAAATCATCCTTTATACTTCTGTGGGGCTTGCCAAATCTGCTTCTATGGTTGTGTAATCAAAATAGAGATGAAATATAGGTAGAACAGTTCCAGCACCCAGAAAATTCCTCAGTCTTTGAAGCCAAACTAATTTCAATCACCAGCTCCTGGAAACACTGATTTGTTTTGCGTTTTCCAGAATGTCCTATAAGTGGAATCATTCAGCATGTAAGTAACGTTTTGAGAAAGGTTTTACCTAGCATAAGGTATTTGCAACTCATCTGTGCTGTGGTGTTTCCTCACTGCGAGGAGTATCCCATTGTAGAGATGTACCTCCACCAGTGGATGGGATATTCGGGTTTTTTCCGTTTTCTTTTTCTCATAACTTTTTCCTGACATTCCGGAATCTAAGTCTCACATTAGGAATAAAGCCACCATAAACATTTTCAGACTCGGTTCTGTGTAGACGTTTTCATTTCACTTGGGAAACACCTAGGGGAGGGACTGCTGTGCGTGTCACTTTGTAAGGAACTGCCAAACCGCTTCCAGAGCTGCCCTGCTGGTTGGTATTCCCATCGCAGTACGTGAGAATCCGAGTTGCACATCCTCACAGTCACTCATTGAGAACATCGGCTTAATTTTAAAAATTCACTATTTACTTAATTTCTTGACATGCTACGAAGCGTGCAGTGGTATTGCTCTGCGGTTTTAATTCCCACTTGCTTGGCGACTACGCCGATGAGTCTACTCACTCTTTAAACCTCTGCTTGGCCTTCACTCTGCCCGAAGAGCCACTGTTGGCGCTCACGCTGCAGGATGGTCCCGTCCCTGCAGTCCCGAGACAACCAGCTCGCCTCTCCGCCTCGGCCGCTGTTCTACTGTACCTGCTGCTCTGCGCCCGGTCTCTCTCTCACACACCCGCACACACCCTCACGCACACCCGTATACACTCGCCCAGGACACCGGGCTCCTCGACGACAGACACATCTTACTTCCTCTTGCTTCCCAGCCAACAGCGCAGACCTGAAACAGAATCTTTGTAAATAAACACTGAACGAGCGAACTAATGACTGCTTTACAGATTAGAGATTGATCGGACGAGAACGTCTCACACTAAGAACAAGCGACGCTGGGAAAGACAGCACTCAGGGAGACGCCTACGCGGGCGCTGCCTCCGGGGCTGAGAAGCGGAAGGGGCGGGACAGGAAGCGGAAGTGAGGCAAGAGGCGATGGCGTCATCGTTGTTATGGAGACTGGACAGTTAGGAGACCCGCAGTCTGCGGAGTCTGGGTCCTACGCTTTCTCGGGGGCTACGTGGACGCTCACGTCGCGACTGGCCGGGATCCGCAGCCCCAGCCAGTCCGCCCGGCTGTCCTCCATGGCCCACTCCGAGGCCTTCCACTGCGGTGTCTCGGACCGGCCGCGCCGCCTGGCGCCTTTGCGCGAGCCGCATCTGCTGCGCCTGCGTCCCACTTCGCTGCGCTCCCAGGACATCTCGCACTTGCTCACAGGTGTCTTCCGCAACCTGTACTCGGCCGACGTGATCGGCGAGGACGTGAGCTCGAATCTAATCAAAGCCCGCGGGAGCAAGAATGCGCGCCACGAGCAATTCGTGGACGAGCTGCAGCAGGTGAGGCGGCTCGCGGGCTCCAGGGCGGGCTCCGGGACTCAGCCTAGAGCCGGTACCGGGCGCAGGGGCTGCCTCTGGGGGAGCTGTCAGGTCGGTACTCCAGGCAGTCGACCCTCCAGAGAAGGACGTTAAGTGCACCCATCCGGCATATACCTGCGGCACCGCCCCATTTCTTCACATACACGTACACGTTATGCATTGCATCTGTAGTAAGAGGGCAGGGCACTTAGCTGAATAGCTGCCGTTCCCTGGAAGTGGTAAAGCTAAAAGCCACCCGCCTTTGGGGATTCTGCCTTCATATCACAAACCACAGTGTTAACCGGGCGTTCATGCCCAAACTGTAGGAAGCATGCCCAGTCTCGGAACAGCAGCTCTGCCTTTTCCCAGTGCAAGCAGGGAAGAAGCTAGCTGGGATCGTCCGCTGACTCTGATTGCTGACCACGCTCTCATAACGCGCTTAAAGGGGGTCTCAAGTGAGCGCTTTCAAACTGTTGAAGGAGCTCACAGCTAGAGGCTACCTACTCTCTATGCTCCCTGCAGCCAAGTAGCAAGCCCTCCATTGCAGGGGAATCTAAGTAGCGCAAACCTCTGTCTACCGCAGGTGCTGTGCTAACTTGTGTTTGATATTTCAGAGTTAGGATGGCAACTCTCTTTCCCATGAAACCAGGAGTCAGAGACAGGGTTTCAGGCTCGACTCTGTTACTTTACTCTGAAACCTTTAAGCCATTTCCCTCTTGGGTTTCTTTTCACATCTGTTAGGTTGGACCAGATGGTGTCTATAGTCCTGTAACTGTCTCATGTTTCACGGGAAGCCTGGATGCTGGGGTGAGGTTGAGCAAAGCTACATAATTCACCATATTTTGTGCCTTTGATCATCCACCTGTCAGATTCGGAAGCTCTATAAGCAGCGGCTGGATGAGGCTGAAATGTTGGAAAGACACATCATTCAGGCCCGTGCACGGGCCCTTGCAGAGAAAGAGAGGTCCGTGCAACACATGCCCAAACTGTAGGAAGCATGCCCAGTCTCGGAACAGCAGCTCTGCCTTTTCCCAGTGCAAGCAGGGAAGAAGCTAGCTGGGATCGTCCGCTGACTCTGATTGCTGACCACGCTCTCATAACGCGCTTAAAGGGGGTCTCAAGTGAGCGCTTTCAAACTGTTGAAGGAGCTCACAGCTAGAGGCTACCTACTCTCTATGCTCCCTGCAGCCAAGTAGCAAGCCCTCCATTGCAGGGGAATCTAAGTAGCGCAAACCTCTGTCTACCGCAGGTGCTGTGCTAACTTGTGTTTGATATTTCAGAGTTAGGATGGCAACTCTCTTTCCCATGAAACCAGGAGTCAGAGACAGGGTTTCAGGCTCGACTCTGTTACTTTACTCTGAAACCTTTAAGCCATTTCCCTCTTGGGTTTCTTTTCACATCTGTTAGGTTGGACCAGATGGTGTCTATAGTCCTGTAACTGTCTCATGTTTCACGGGAAGCCTGGATGCTGGGGTGAGGTTGAGCAAAGCTACATAATTCACCATATTTTGTGCCTTTGATCATCCACCTGTCAGATTCGGAAGCTCTATAAGCAGCGGCTGGATGAGGCTGAAATGTTGGAAAGACACATCATTCAGGCCCGTGCACGGGCCCTTGCAGAGAAAGAGAGGTCCGTGCAACAACAGACCAAGGTGCAGTTCCTTGAGGCTTTCATCACGTTGCCGCCAGGTGTGTATAAAGAACTCCCACATGCCTTCGCCCTGATTCTACAGCTGCTAATACATTACGTATTTGTTCCATTGCCCACTTTGTAGTCCTCTTCGTCTGAACATTTGGAGAGCAAGTTGCAGATTCGATGTTTCCTTTCCACAAAACTCTCCAGAGTGCTTGTTTCCAAAATAGGGACATATAACCAGCATGCAACCCTCCAAGCCAAGTCAACAATGGTAGAGCATCACCCAGCACTTCACAGACCCCATGCAGATTCCACCAGCTGTCCCAGGGTGGCTTCTTCTCTCTGGTCCATGATCCTATATAGGAAATCATGTTGCATGTAATTGTCATATCTCTTTCTCAGACTCTTTTTTTGGAACAATTCCTGATCTTTTCCTATCTTTCATGTTCTTGATGTTTTTTTGCAATTTTTTTTATTATGGTAAAATACACCTAACAAAATTTATCATCTTAACCATAGTTCAGTGGTATTAAATACATTCATAGTGTTACACAATTATTACCACCATTCATTTTCATGACTTTTCATCTTGCTGAATTGAAACTCTGTGCCCATTAGACACTAATTCCCCATTCTCCCTCCCCCAGCCCCTGATACCCACCATTCTCCTTTCTGTCTCTATGATTCTATTCTAAGTGCCTCATATAAGTGGAATTATGCAGGATTTATCTTTTTTGACTGGCTTATTTCACTCAGCATGTCCTCAGGGTGCATCCATGTTATAGCGTATTGCAGACTTTCCTTCCTTTTTAAGGCTGGATAATATTCCATAATGTGTATATAGCACATTAAGCTTATTTATTCATCTATTGCTGGACTCTATGGTTGCTCCCACATTTTGTCTATTGTCAACAATGCTATGAACATGGATGTACAAATATCTCTTTAAGACCCTGCTTTTAATTATCTGGGGTGTATACCCAGAAGTGGAATTGCTGGATCATATGGTAGTTTCATTTTCAATTTTTTTGAGGAATTGTCATACTGTTTTCCATAGTAGCTATAGTGCACAAGGGTTCCCATTTCTCTACATCCTTACCAACACTTGTTATTTTCTGCCGTTTTTGATAGTAGCCATTCTAATGAGTGTGAATTGGTATCTTATTGTAGTTTTGATGTGTATTTCCCTGCTAAAAATTAGTGATGTTGATTAGCATCTTTTCATGTGCTTAAGGCCATTTGTGTATCTCCTTTCTTTTAGCCTTATGTTTTTATTTGAAATATAGTTGATACACAATATATTGGTTTCAGGTATACAACATGATTCGACAATTAAATACATTACTAACTGCTCACCACAGTAAGTATAGTTACCATCTGCCAACAAGATATTGCAATATTATTGACTATATTCCCTATTATGTACTTTCATCCCCGTGACTATTTTATAATTGGAAGTGTGTACCTCTTTATCTCCTTCACCTATTTCACCCACCTCCCTTCACATCC